TTTAACACAGCACAAACAGGGGAAGCAGCAGGCAGAGGTAGAGGGAGAAGCAGGCTTCCCGCTGAGCAGGGAGCCAGATTCGGGGCTCCATCCCAGGACCCTGGGCCATATCCTGAGCTCAAGGCAGATGCTTAACCAACTGAGCTACCCAGGTGCCCTGAAGGAGTTAGAAATCCCTTTGGTAAATATATGGCACACAACACTTTTAATAGTGAACAGTGTAAAATCGAAGACTCAGAAAAGATTTGGAATCACCATTTCCCATAAGTGCTTTGGATCTAACTCCTCAGAGTTGATCTTCTCTCCCTTTTTCCCAGTCCTTTGGGATTCACAATGCAAGTGCATGGAAAGCTAGTCCCCTCTTGGTGCTTTCACTTGACAAAGGTCAGTGGCTGTTATGAAGCCTGTTACCTCTAGGCTCTCCCCGCCCCCTACATAAATTGCCTGTCATCTGTGCCTGTTACCATTGAAGGAGGCATTTAGGAGGTTTTTGTAAATGAACTTGCTCTTATTTAAAGAAAATGAGCATTGTGGACAATAGCTAACAAATTATATATCTTTCCTCACCAATGGTCTATAGTATGAAATTGATGACCCTAAGTAAAGGTCCATCTTGTCTGTGGCCTGATTCTTGAGGCGTGGTTATTGAAGTATTCATATGGGGAACTGTCTTACTGAATTGATCTGACAGATGATTGGATAAACACCATTTTTGCTCATGATTTTTTTTAAAGATTCTATTAGAGTGTGCGTAAGACAGCACGAGCCGGTGGGAGAGGGAGAAGCAGGCTCCCTGCTGAACCAAGAGACTGACATGGGGCTGGATCCCAGGACCCTGATCATGACCTAAGGCAAAGGCAGAAGCTTAACTGACTGAGCCACCCAGGTGTCCCGTTAGTTAAATGTTTGGTAGAAACAGTGTTAATATTAGTTTGTGCTTATGAGTCATAATTATATAGGATGACTTTTAGTTAACCATAATTATAGCCAATAATAATGTAATATCATCAGCCTTATTTTACCTGCTTTTTAGGTATGCCTGGAAACCTAAGTAGACTAAATCAAGAACGTGATGTCTTCGATTGACCTAAGAAGTTTGAAATAGTGAGGTCAATAGTTACAGCCTATGTAGGTGGACTCCTATTGTATTGACTCAGATTCTCTCACGTTGTTGATTTCCATGTGATACATGCATTCCCCCATTCTTTTATAATGTAGTATGTTAGGTGTAGAAAATAAATTTGACTTCCTTCTGAATGAAACACTTTTGTTAATACTATTCTTTTCATTACTAGGTCTTC